TCTTTTCCACGGTGGCACAGTTAGTCCGTACTCCCTCCGTTCCTCGTGAGTCATGCTGGTTACTTAGATGACGTTTATGGACGGGATTCCCCACGTTTAATTGGCTTTACCATAGCGACAATCGGCAAGGTTCAGGCTTGTAATAGCTCTTCGCGGAACGACCGTAGGGCCGGTCTGTGCCCATCTGGGACCTCAAGTCCAGTCCATTTCTTTTTCTCCGCCTGGATGATGAGGTTCAGCTGAAGACTTGGGAGCTGGAGAGCAGAGCCTGAAACCCTGGGCATGCCCTCTCAGCCCCCAGGCTGTTTATGCTCGCTCATGGCTTCTTCGTTAAAGTAGAGGAAGAAAACACTTGTGAGGTTTGGGCACGTGCGTTAAGTGACTCAGTCACTTAAGTGCCAATGGGAATGCAATAAAGGTTTGCAGTCCTTTGTCTTAGTAAAAAGTTTCTGATAGGCCTTGCATGGTAGCTCAGGCCTGTAATCCCAGCACTGGAGGCTGAGGATAGAAGATCCTACTAGCCTACTGTTAGAGGACAATGTAGGATACATACAGGGTCAGCCAGAGCAACTTATGTAAGACTGAGAGAAATCACAAAACTTGCTTTAATTTGACACTAGACGAAGCTTATCAAATGTCCTTGAGCTCCACATCACTTTGCAAGATACTGAGAAGAAAAAAAATCCACAGCAGTAAAGCAATGGTATTTTCCCTTTATTTTTGTGGAAGAAGGGGAAGTTGGTTAGTAGGTTGACTTGCTAATTATTTTTATTTGACACATGAAAATTATACATTATTTAGGAAACCATGTGGTTTTTCTTATAATGTATAAGTTGTAAAATAGCAAAATCATAATAGACATACCTCAGAAAGTTGTGAGCACTGAAGTAGCAGGTTGAATGTCTCTATCATAAATGTTGAGAACCAGAGGTGTTGTAGATTTTTAATTTTTTTCTGATTTGGAAATAGTTGCTGAGATTTCCCTGGTTAGACATTCCTAATTTGAACCCAGGTCTGAAATGCTCTAAAATCTTTTAGTTTATGATTGGAAGTTTTTCTCTTATGAGAAATAATATGAGAGTTTGATGCAGAATAAAGCAATACAAAGACTACATGGAGTTCATGCATTCTGACCACTGCACCTGTACTTGATGAACTTGGGTTTAGACGATCTTCTTTGCCTTTCTGTTTTATCAGGTTGAAGGAGTATTTTATGTGAATGATGCTCTGGAAAAATTAATGTTTGAGGAATTAAGGAATGCCTGTCGAGGTGGTGGTAAGTACCTTAGAGACTGGTGTATGATTTGGGTAAAGCCTCCCTGTGCCTGTATAAGGAACTCAGCCAGTGTGGAATATTTGCAAGGAATGATCAAGACTTAAATCCAAAGCACCTGTTTGTGATCACATTTAGCATGCTGCTGTGTTAAGGATTTGGACTCGGAGCTAGTGTGTGCTCAGATAACCTCACAGTAATAGCCAGTGTTACTGTTCCTTCTACACTCACTGTTTGTCAGGCACCTGTTAGGTACTTTATATTGATTGCCTATGCAGTGATCATAATAACTAAAAAGGAAGATATATATTACCTGTCTTTTGTAGATGTGCAGATTCAGTGAACTTAAGTGATGATTTTTTTTTTTTTTTTTTTTTTGCTTGTTTTTAGACATGATTTCTCTGTATAATAGTTCTGGCTGTCCTGGAACTTGCTCTCTAGACCATGCTGGCCTCAAACTCACAGAGATCTGCCTGCCTCTGCCTCCGGAGTGTGAAGTTGGTCATAACTTCATGGTGACAGAGCCAGAATTCAAATCTGAGTGCCTGATTTTAAAACCAGTACTCCTCTTCTCTTCTCTTCTCTTCTCTTCTCTTCTCTTCTCTTCTCTTCTATCTATCTCTATCTGTGTGTGTCTCTGTGTGTGTGCTCGAGCTCTCACAAACTTTTTGGATGCATTCATTTTTATTAATGACACACTGTGATACTTGGGTAACGGTATATTGATGAAGTTCCTTGTTACCATCTAACACAGATTGCTTAAGTGTAGCTGCCAAGATTCATCTTGAGTGGACTCTAGGAGTGATTAATGATGGCCATGGGCAGGCACAGGACTGGAGTCTTTCAGTGCTTTGCTTTTATCAGCACTCCTGATTTTATAAAGAATGAAGTATATTAACTCCATTCCTACCCAAACTTCCTGATAAACCTGGGTATAGTTGAGTTTTGTATAGTAAGGATTTGAATTTTTTAATAAGGATTTGAAGCATCTCAGCTGGATCAAGGCCAGCTCTTACTGGTGTAGTAATTGACTTCTGGCTTACTCTACAGGATAGTTTAGATAGGAAGTGTAGTGCTCTAAAATGACACTCTAAAGTGATGGTAAAATACAAAACATCTTTTAGTCCTTTCCATTTCTTAGATTAGCTAAAAAGTTCCTTTCTTCCCTCACTTGAATATGTTCACTTGTGTTAAGTGGCACTGCTAGAGGCTTTGGATATGACTCATTGAGTGATATCCAGCCACGTGAACATTAAGACCTGAGTCAGGATCCCTAGTGTAAAAGCCAGGTGGCAGAGTACCTCTTTAAACCTACCACTTGCTTGGGGAAGGAGACAGGCAGATTCCAGAGCTTGCTGGCCAGTCAATCTAACCAGTAACTGAGGCCCAGATTCAGTCAGAGACCCTGTTTGAAAAAAAATAAGGTGGAGGGCTAGAGAGATGACTCAGTGAAAAAATGCTTGTTACACAACTCTCACAACCTGGGTTCAGTTCCTAGAAGCCATGTAAAAGGTAAGAGAATAGAACCGGCTCTTCAAAGCTGTCCTCTCACCTCCCTGCGCTGAGTATGCACACGCACCATGCACATGCTGAGTAGATATATTTTTACAAAGGTGGAGAGACATTGAGGAAGATGCCTAATATTGGTCTGTGGCCTCCACATACACGCACATGTGTGTGCTCACACACACACACACACACTTGCAAAGGGAGGAACCTGCTATCAAAACTGACAAAGCTGGACTTACTGTCCATCTGTCCTGACTCTCAGCCATTATTTTGTTTTCTCTGCTCTTCCCCATGGCCCTTCTTTGTCTTAGATTAACACAACTTCTGATTGGGGGTAGTTTTGTTTTGAAACAGTCTTGATCCCCAAAACTGGAGTTAGAGATGGTTAGAGATGGTTGTGAGCTGCCAGGTGGGTTCTAAGACTCAAACCTGGATCCTCTGCAAAAGCAGCCATTGTTTTAACCATTGAGCAGTCGCTCCAGCATCATAAAGGTTAATGGTTAATCTTTTCTACCCTTACTACATTTGCAGGCCAGCTTCTTGTAGTGTACACAGAATCCTGACAACCATGTCTGATTGTCCTGTCCCTCCTGGGAATGTACTGCTTCTTGAAGTCCCCTCCCCACTTTTATTTCAACTGTTCTTCTCTACTCTGTATCCATAACCACGGCTACTTCTTGTATGTAAGTAATGCTGAAAAATTTTTCTAAGACTGAGGTTTTTTGTTTTTTGTTTTTTTCAGGTGTTGGTGGCTTCCTGCCAGCCATGAAGCAGATTGGCAATGTGGCAGCCCTGCCCGGGATTGTTCATGTGAGTCAGAGTCAGAACCTTAATCATTTTTGTTGTGTAAAGTTTATTGGATGAATGAAGGGCTCCACCTAATTGATGCTGGTGTCCTTTAGATTGTGACCTTTGACTGTAGCAGTAAGCCTTAGACTTAGGAACGGGTCTGGACAGCCCCTCCATCTCCTAATCTAAGTGTTTCCAAACCTCTGGAATGGCTTTTATGGAGAGATTTAAATCTTGCCATTGTGTGCATAGTCCTTCACCTGTGTACCATTCTAGGTTTCACTGTGATTCTGTCTAAAGGGTAATTGGAAAAGAAATGAAGAGAAAGTTGAACTGAACAGAGTGAGGGAGGACCACCTAATTAGCTATTCTTGCAATGGTGGAGCAATGGCAGTCATTGCGGGAACTGGATGGTGTAAATGGGCCTCCACTAGCCTAGCATGCAGACTTCACCTTCAGAGGACAGTGCTGAGAAGCCGGTCCGTTTACAGACTTTTATGAGGCTTCTCAATGCTAGTTAACAATGCTGTGCATTGGAGGCTAGGGTGGTGATGAAATGTGGCATATGTGTTTATGAGCTCCTATTTCTAGTTGGCTCCATGTCCTCACCATATTTGACGTCTTTTCTGTCTGGCATACCAACCTTCACTCGGCCCCCAGTGTATGAAATGTACTGTATTAATGTTGTCAAATAGATTTCATTTGTGAAATTCCTTATGACTTGTACAAACCATGACACAACTACAGTTTGCCAGTGTCTTAAGACAATTTAAAAAAGTAACAACACCTGTACTTAGTGTGTGATTCTCTGGCAGCCTGTTACTCTGCAGCTTTTCTGTTGGCAGTTTGATTTTATGAACAGATGTTGTTGACTGTGTTCAGCTTTGTGAACAGTAGTCCATAGACGAATAGAGACTCAGAGTCAAGGTCTAATCCATCAGACAGCCAGAGGGCAGAGTGAACAGCTGTGCTTTATGTCTCATTCTTTTCCAGCGGTCTATTGGGCTTCCTGATGTCCACTCGGGCTATGGATTTGCCATAGGGAACATGGCTGCCTTTGATATGAATGACCCTGAAGCAGTGGTATCCCCAGGTAAGGTGCAGTTACAGATTGTGTGGCTTCCTTTGTGAGACAGTGGGTTAGTGTGCATTTCTCAGTCATTGGTTTCTAGTTTTCTACATTGAAGCTGCTTATGGACAATTGGTTATGGACAAATATCAATCAAACCACTTACTGAAAACTTTGGAGATTTTTATCAGATGCCAGGGAATACCTGACATTATCTAAGTCAGCCCTGAGCATTATTGGGAGGAATAAATGAATTCAGTTGACTCAGTACTTCCTCATATCATTTTTGTTTTAACACAAATATTTTTCATTCATTTTTAGGTTCATATATAACATGGCATGTTCACATGTGTCATTCTACATTGTTTTCATTCATTCCCCTCCCCAGCTACCCTTCCTCACTCCTCCAGCTGCTTCCTTTCTACCCCAGTTAGTCCACTCTCACCTCAATCTTTTTCCCTAATTGCCACCTCCCTTAAGATCTCTTCCTCCCCTCTCGTGGTCCCCTTTCTATCTTCATGACCAACAAACGTGTGTAATACTCTGATACACATAATTTTAAGTTAGATTTCACATATGAAAGAAAACATTGGGTACTTGTTTTTCTGTGTCTGGTTTATTCTGCTTAACAGTAATTTCTAGTTGCATTCATTTTCCTGCAAATAGTATTTTCTTTATACATCCATTTGTTGATGGCCATCTAAGCCGATCCCATTTCCTAGCTGTTATGAATAAGGTCACTGTAAATGTGGGTGTGCGAGTGTCTCTGAGTGCATTCACCTGGAGTGGTAGAGCTCTGTTTTCAGGAACTTCTGTCCTGATTTCCATCTTTCCCCCTTTTCCCCCACATTGTCACCAGCATTTGCTGTTGTTTCCTTGATGATAGTCATTTAAGAGGTAAGGTGGAATCTCACCATAATCAGTTTTTGTGCATTCACCTCCAGCTGTATACCACCGTCTGTATGTCCATCTATGTATGATTATCAAATATGTTCATTGAAAATCTTCCTCAGCAAAAGGAGCAGTTTTGCTTTCAGAGTCTAAATGACAAATGAAAGCTTTGACTCGTATCTTCAGGTCCTGCCTCTGGCAGTGGTGGACTTGGCCTTCACTGTAAGAACATTTGGGCAGTATTTCAAACAGTAGAATTAAAGACATGGTGGAAGGTACAGGAATACCACTGGATGTTGAAGTGGAGAGGAAGAGGAAGCAAAGATGCAGATATGTGAGCCCCCCAAGTTAGAGATGCTTCCCTGTCCAACTTCAGTGCCTTGAAATTTGAATTCTTTAAGGCTGAGCATGTCATCAGTGTTGTAAACAGGTGCACTTGAAAAGTGTATTCTGTGCTTGCTTCAGCAGCACATATACTAAAATTGGGTCAGTACAGAGAAGATTAGCATGTCCCCTGCATGAGGATGACATTCATGAAGTGTTCCATATGGGGGGACAGGCAGGGAGAGGGGGAGAGATGTGATTTTTATAACATGTGCACACACAACAAGTATCACATTTGTTAGCTGCATTGTTCAGATCATCAGTATTAAGACTGACACTTGTGATTACCTCAAGAGATAATCAGATCACACAAAACCATTAAAAATTGAGGATGTTGGGGGCACGTGAAGATGGCTCAGTGGGCAGAATACTTGCTATACAAATATAAGGACATAAGTTCAGATCCCCAGCACCTAATAAAAACTGAGCATGGGTTGTACATCTGTAACCTTGGTGCCTGGAGACAAACAGATCCTGGGGTCTCAGTGGCTACCTACTCTTTCTGACACAGTGAATGCACACCTCTGTGTATGCCACAAACAAGAAAGGAGGCTGTGGAGGAAAAGACAGGCACACTGTTGGTGACACTGGATTGGTGAAGCCATTATAGAGAACAGTCCATAGAAATCCTTTTAAAAATTTAGGAAATTTAAAAAAAAAAAAAATAGGCTGAAGAGATGGCTTAGTGGTAAAGAGCACTTGCTGCTCTTCCAGAGGACCTGGGTTTTATTCCCAGCTCCCACATGACAGCACAACTATTTGTAACTCCAGTTCCAGGGCATCTGATACCCTTACACAGACATATATGCAGAACCAATGCACACTTAAGAAATAAAATTTCTTACGGCAAATTATTTTCTAAAGACATTGCACATACATTTGGATCTCTTGCCCCTTTTAATTCTAATAAAAATGAATAGTGCAATGAAAAAAAATAAAATTTCTTATGATTCAGCCATGCAACTTTTGCATATATTCAGGTGGAACTGAAATCATTACTTCAAAAAGGTATCTGCATTTGTGTGTTTACTGTAGCATTAATTCACAATAGCCAAGCTAGGGAAACAACCCAGATATTGGTTGAGGAATGAATAGATAGAGGCAATGAGAGTGGAATATTATTCAGCTTGAAGAAAGGAGATCCTGCCCATTTGGTAAAGCATGAGCAAAATAATCTAGACAAAGAGGACAAATGCCACAGCATAGAATAGTGGTTGACAGAGTAGAGGGAGGGTGGAGAGTGCTGATTTGGGAGATATTGGTTAAAGGGTTCAGATTATAGTTTAAGGTGAATTACAGTCCTGGAGACTTAATGTACAGAAACAGTAACATACTTGAATCTGTGAATTTGAAATCTGCTATGACATCAGGTCTTGGGTTATCTTCGCAGGAAGAAGGGGAATAATTGTGTGAGTGATGGATATGTTAACTAGCTTAATTGTAGTGAGTGATGGTGTATATGCATATACTTCATATAAAAGTTGTTCCTTGTCACTCAATAAAGCTGGAGGCATGACTTTCAGAAATACTTAGATCTGAAAATTTTCAGTGAATTTTGGTATCTTAATTAGGGTTTTAGTGCTGTGAAGAGACACCATGACACCTTTAATTGGGGCTGGCTTACAGTTTCAGAGATTTAGTCCATTATCATCATAGCAAGAAGCATGGCAGCATGCAGGTAGACATGGCACTGGAGAGGGAGCTGAGAGCTCTACATATTGATAAACAGATAGCAGGAGACTGAGCCACACTAGGCAAAGCTGGAATATATAAGACCTTAGTCTGCCTCCACAGTGACACACCTCCTCCAGCAAGGCCACACCTCATAATAGTACCACTCCTTATGGGCCAAGCATTCAAACACATAAGTCCATGGGGGCCGTTCCTATTCATACCACCACAGCTGGTAATCCAATTTTTGTATGCAGATAGACTATAGCCTTAGATGCATAAATTAGGAAAGAAGGGGGCTGATTTTTTTTTTTTTTTTTTTTTTTTTTTTTTTTGGTTTGTCGAGACAGGGTTGCTCTGGGGCTTTGGAAGCTATCCTGGAACTAGCTCTTGTAGACCAGGCTGGCCTCGAACTCACAGAGATCCGCCTGCCTCTACCTCCCGAGTACTGGGATTAAAGGTGTATGCCACCAACGTCTGGCATAATCTTTTATTTTTTTTATTTTATTTATTTGCCAGGCAGTGGTGGCTCACGCCTGTAATCCCAACACTCGGGAGGCAGAGGCAGGTGGATCTCAGTAAGCTTGAGACTAGCCTGGTCTACAGAGTGAATTCTAAGACAGCCAGAGCTGTTACATAGAGAAGTCTCAAAAAAACCAAAAAACAAATAAACAAAATTACTTATTTAATGTGTGTGGGTGTTTTGCCTACATGTATGTCTGTGCACCATGGGTGTGCCTGGTACCTGGGCAAATCCAGAGGAGGACGTAACAGATCCTTTGGGACTGAAGTAGTTTGTGGGTGTTGGGAATCAAACTGGGGGCCTCTAGAAGAGCAGGCAGTGCTCTTAACCATTTGGCCATCTCTCCAGCCTCCTGGAATATCTTTAAAAGTTGGAGAAATTACAACAATTTAGATTTGCAAAAGGCAAAACATTGGAAATTGTTTTAAAAAAATGAAAGTGCATAGTAGGGAAGGTTGGCTGTTTGAGAAGACTTAACAGAGCTGACCAGCCTCTGATGTGAGTGAGACAGAAATGGTCGTGTTACTCCTTTCCATTCTGTCTGCCATATTCCCACTGTTAGTGAAGTACATTTGTGGATGTGTGACTCGAATTCTTTCAGTGCTGGCAGACTTGATCCAGCAGAGAGCCACTTTGGTGGCTGCATTGAAACATGCTTGTCTTTAAGAGAATGTGCATCCTTTTAAGTCCATATTAATAGTAAGGAACTTCAAGTAATGCTCTGATTGTCTGATTATTTTGCTAATATTTGACTTACCTTCTGTGTTGTAGGTGGTGTCGGATTTGACATTAACTGTGGTGTCCGCTTGCTAAGAACCAATTTAGATGAGAGCGATGTGCAGCCTGTGAAGGAACAACTTGCCCAGGCTATGTTTGACCACATTCCTGTTGGGGTGGGATCCAAAGGTGTCATCCCAATGAATGCCAAGTAAGAGCACGGGATTCTGATTAACAAAAAGGGAGAGGGAAACCACGGCTCAGCTTTGCCTCCAATTTAGACACTGACTCAGTCACTTCTTAGGACGTACAGATTAGTTGCTTTTGAAGCCTCAGCTCCAGCCCATGTTCATTAGAACAGTCCTTCAGCTAGGCTTGGTGACATACACCTGTAATCCTGGCCTAAAGGGGGGCTGACATGGTAGGATCATTTTAACCCAGGAGTTCAAAGCCATCCTGGGAAGCATATAAAACCCTGTACCTAAAGTTTAAAAAGAGAAAGCATGCAGCCAGAAAGAAAGATGACTCTAGTTAAGACTACAAGCTGCTCTCCCAGAGGCCCAGCACCTGTATAGCAGCTCTCGGCCATCTGTAACTCCAGTCCCAGGGCAGCTGACACCATGTTCTGACCTCTGTGGATACTGCATGTACATGATGCACAGATGTATGTTGGGGCAACTCCCATAAACATAAAAATTAAGAAAAAGAAAGGCAGTCCTTGATGTAGAATACTTTAGAATAACAGCTCTTTCTAAGCATGAGGCACTGTGCCCAATACTTCATTCAGATGATGACCACTGCTAGAAGACAACAAACTAAGAGAAAGAAGTGACGGGAGATTAAGTTTGGTAAGTGATGTCAGGGTTCAGACTGAAGATCTTTTGCCGTGCAGACAGACTATATTCTGAGTAACTCTCAACGAAGCCATTTATCTACAATCTTCTTTTTGAATGATGGCACTGAATATGTGCTTTATTTAGGTAAGCAGTGCAATAATATAAGGCTACAGTGTTCCTATCTCTTGGGTACCTACTGACAGTGCTATACTGCTCATGCAAAACAGTACACCTTACAATTGGCAGGATCTTCTCTACCCTAAACTCCAGGTCCCCTGTCTCAGCCTCCTAAATGTTAGGGGGGTGGCAGGTATATACCACCATATCTAGATCAAATGATGTACTTACCAAGTGTAAGTCAAAGGTGTTTCTTTGACATCTGCATTTTATGAACTTTAAGTCTGTATGCATACATTAATGCAGAAATGCTGTTACCTGTTACACACTCCCTTCCACCACAAAAAGAAAAACACATGAAGGAAAATTAATTTAGAAGCCTGTCCTTTGTTTTCATATGACCCCTGTGTCACCCACTGTGAAAATCATACATGTAACAATGTGCAATTGAACATGAAGCATCTTTACATATATTTCAGGTAAAGTTTTATCCTAATTCATTTTGTTTGTAAAGCATTGTCATCTAGGGTAGTGGGGAAGGGAGCAATCTCTTCTGCTGTGTGAGAAGCCTGCCCCTTGGGGGATGGTGGAGCATCCTCTCTGTAAGCATTTCATGTTTGTGCACTACAGCTTCAAAGTGCAGGTGCAGTAAACCCACAACGCTTTGCTGAAAATACACCTTAAAATGTAACCTGTGTCACTTGAGGAAATTCAGATACCGTTATTATTTGACTAATTTTTTCATAAGTTATTAGTAAAGACATTAATAGAGGTAGATGGTAATATCTGATTAAGATTACAGCTTGTATTTGGCTATTTAATTGCTCCCTTATGGAATTCAGAATCCGAGAGGCAGATGTAATATAAAAGAAAATAATAATTGAAAAATACATCACATGGGCCAATGATATATACTTCAGTTGGTAGAGTACTTACGTAGTATGCATGGAAACTGAGCATGCTGTGTCCACACTTGGGAGACAGAGACAGGAGTTTCTGGAGTTAAAAGTCATCTTTGGCCACATAGTGAGTTCAAGGCCAGCCTGAACTATATGAGAACCATGTAAATGTCAAGTGGAACTGTCATCATGTTTATGACACTATCTACATTTTAAATAGTAATCATTTATGTGACTACTTTACTCAGAAACAAAAACTAGAGAACATAAACTCTGGTGCAGGAAATAGTAATTGTCACATATTCCTATGTTCTTTGAGGTGTGTTTCTTCCTGACTTTTGATTGTCCTTTGCTATGAAATGACTTGCATTTCCTTACTCACCCCCCAGAGACTTGGAGGAGGCATTGGAGATGGGTGTGGACTGGTCTCTGAGAGAAGGGTATGCCTGGGCTGAAGACAAGGAGCACTGTGAGGAGTATGGAAGGATGCTGCAAGCTGACCCCAATAAGGTCTCACCCAGGGCAAAAAAAAGGGGCCTTCCTCAGGTAAGGGTCTACATGCTGTTTCAGCTTTTATCAAGGGAAGGAATCTGTATCTTCTGTTTAACAAAAAGTACATCCTTGGAGGTGTGTGTGTGTGTGTTTGTTTTTTTATGGTACATCAAAAAACACAAATCTGTTTGCTTGTGCATCATTTTTCTGAAACATTATCCAGAGCTTACAGATATTCATAAATGATTGTGTTATAAGTGGATAGGAGGAAATGGATATGATTATGATACTTACAAAGTACATCAGAATTTAGATATTTTGTAAAAAATTATTTATTTTTTGGAAAAGAATGTAGGGCAGTGAGATGGTTTGGTGATGGAGGAACAAGCCTCACAAGGTGGAAGGAGAAAACTGACTCCAAATGTTGTCTTCAGGCCTCTACATACATGCTGTGGCACACGTGCCCACAAACATTGTACAGATGCAATAGTAGTAATAAAACAATCTCTTTGAATTGGTGAATGATTTTGGTACCCAACATGAAAAATGATATATCATAAATCATTTCAACCTGGGGCTTACCTGAGAGTAAGCATTCTTCCTATAATCTGGCCCTTCTTGGTGATAATTAAAGCTTCTATAAGTCATTAATGGCTTGGGGTTTGGGACTTTTATAAGTACTTAAGCATATGTTATTCTAGACCTTGTGCAGCCCACATTATTTTTGTTACATGTTGTAATAAGAATTTAGAATTTTTTTGTTACTTAAGACACTTTGTATGGTTATTTTGTTGTTGGCTTGATTTTACCTATTTGTTTTTATTTTTAACTAGAATAGAAACTATTTAATCAGACATTCTTACATTTACAGTTGGGGACCCTGGGAGCAGGCAACCACTATGCAGAAATCCAGGTTGTAGATGAGATTTTCAATGAATATGCTGCTAAGAAAATGGGCATCGACCATAAGGGGCAGGTGTGTGTGATGATCCACAGTGGAAGCAGAGGCTTGGGCCACCAAGTAGCCACAGGTATATTCTAAACCTAATTTTTACTTGAAACCAAATGTATGTTTTTTGTTTGTTTGTTTTTTCCAAATGTATGTTTTGTGGGGAACAAGATAAGAGAGTTAATTGAGCGATGGAAAAACATTGTATGGTTTTTTAATGTGTGGCTCTCTTTACTTGTGACTCTGAACAAACTAACAATTCCATTGGACTTTTCTTTTCTAAAAAAAAAAAAAAAATAGGTATCGAGGTTAGTGAAAGCATTTAACTGCATGTGGCACTTAGGAAGCACTTAGTAATAAACTAGCACTGTATTCACCCGTTGGGGGTTAGTGCTGACCATTTTGACCTTGATAGTACATGGACCATGGAGTTTAGGTCAGTGCTCATCCTGTGAGCCTGTAGTACTCAGCTAGGTTAGGGATTTTGGTGGGCTGGGTTTTAAAGTAGGTACTTGACCTCACTCTGATGGATAAGATTGTGTTCATCAAGAAAAAGAAGGGTTGGAGAAAAAGCTCATTAAAGTGTGGGGTCCCTCAAGCCCACAGAAGAAATGCTAGGCATGGTGGTGCACACTTGTAACCACTATATTGGGGAGGCAGAAACAGGCAAATGCATGGAACTTTCTGGCCAACCAGCATAGCCTGATTGTCAAGTTTTGGGCCCATAAGGGACCATGTCTCAAAAAAAAGGGCACCCAAGGAAAAACACTCAAGGTTGACCACTGGCATCCACATGAATACTCATCTAAACCCTACACCACCACCAAAGACAAAAAGTAGTAGTTGATAAAATATTGTATGAAATAATATGTTTAAAAAATATTCAGAGATGGCTTCATAGACAGTACTCAAGTTAGGCCTTGGGGTTTGAATAGTAACATGTAGAGGACATTTCAGGACAAACAAGCAGCAAGAACAAAAGCAAGGAGCAGGGAAATAGGTGTGTGGATGACTTACAGGCACTAGTGACTGTGAGACAGTACACACACATGGAAATTATAAATATCAAATCTCATGTTATAGTTCACCTTACAGCTGTATCTTACTTGTAAGAATCAGTCATCTCTGCCAGACTGACCCTTTAGTTTAATCTAACAGACATATGAAGCACTGACTGTGGCTTTCATGCTGAGAAATTCTCCACATTTAGTTGTAAGGCACTGAAAATTATGTTTGAGACATGTTCCACAAACTATGGTCTCCTCATTCAAGACTAAGCAGGAGCATATCTTCAGAGTGGCCTGAACAATGTAGATAGTTGGAAAACAAATGGGCTACAAAGTGAGACCCTGTTGTTTTTGTTTTTTTTGTTTTTTGTTTTATAATCTATTTAAAAACCATGATGATACGAAAATATCTGCTGTTCTCATTTATTTACATGTTGGGAAGGGAGTAACTAAACCCATGTTGCTATTAGTTGTACACATCCCATTTCAGGTTTCTAGAGGTAGATGCTATCTGTACGTCCCACAAACCTGTGTCACCTTACTCAGAAGATTCTCAGGAGACATCTTTTTTAAAAATTCATTGAAAGATATTAGTTGTATGTATGTGTGCCTGCTTGTCTGTATGTGCACAATGAGCATACAGTGGAGGCCAGAAAAGGGTTCATATCCCCTGGCACTGGAGTTACAGGCAGTTGTGAGCCACTATGTGGGTACTGGGAACTGAACCCAGGGCATCTGCAACAGCAGCCAGTACTCTTAATGACTGAGCCATCTTTTCAGCTACAAATACATCTTGATTGAACAAATAGATGAACTTAGACACACTTAGGGTTCTGTTTTGAATTTGAATGTTCACTGTCTTTCTACAGTAAGTCGGAATAATTTAAGAGAAACCTACCCGAGCTGACCTAAGGCTCTGTTGTTCCAGATGCACTGGTAGCTATGGAAAAAGCCATGAAGAGAGACAAGATTATAGTCAATGACCGACAGTTGGCTTGTGCTCGGATCGCGTCCCCAGAGGGGCAAGACTATTTGAAGGGAATGGCTGCAGCTGGGAACTATGCCTGGGTTAATCGCTCTTCTATGACCTTCTTAACCCGTCAGGTAAAGTAAAATTGCTCTCTTGGGATCAGGAAGTTAAGCATGTTTGGTTTTAGAAACTTGTATTCTAGATACTAGGGAAGTGTCTTAAGGCTTCAGTGTCTTGGGCCAGGATAGTGTCAGGCAGGCCTGGGAAATAAGAAAAGAGAGCCAGAATGACCCTCAGTTTGGCTTGAGTCTCAGCAAGAATGCATATGCTGTTCTCTGTGGTTGAGAAGGCTGGGGAAGAAGGCAGGCAAGATCCAGAGCAGCTTTTCTGCCTGCCTGCGGTAGACTGTGGCAAGCAGTGTGCTCTCCAGACCTGGAGAGAAGTAACTGCTGCTGTTGAATTCTGAAGTCCCCACTTACTTTAGAAATTTACTACCTGAAAGCAGTAAAATATGTTCTCAAGAGCTAGTGCTGGCTGCTTGTAATGGAAGCTTTTCCCCCTAGGCTTTTGCTAAAGTCTTTAACACAACCCCTGACGACCTGGACCTGCATGTGATTTATGATGTTTCTCACAATATCGCCAAAGTGGAGCAGCACGTGGTAGATGGCAAGGAGAGAACGCTGCTGGTGCACAGGAAGGGATCCACCCGCGCTTTCCCTCCTCACCACCCACTCATTGCTGTTGATTACCAGGTGTGTAACCCTGCATTTGCGTTTGAGCAGTGAGGTCATGATGGAGAGAATTGTACATCTAGGCTTAGTTAAGCAGGAAAACAACACGTGTGTGCACCAGTGATGCCCCAACCCATAGCAAGTGCTGTCTTAGTACTGTATTAGGTATGTTTTACTCCCCTGAGCTCATGTATAGCCGGAAAGATATTGGAGGCAGGACAAAGGTTAAACTGCAGTGTTTCTTTCCCTTACGCTTACGGTTTTACAGATGAGGAAATGGAAGTCCAGAGGGCAGATGCCTAGCCATGGATGAAAAATCCTAACAATACTTCCCTCTGATTTGAGTGGTTTTTTTTTTTTTTTTTTTTTTTTTTTTTTTTTTTTTTTTTTTCTGTTGCAGGCCCTTACATCTTTCTTCTCTTTCTTTTCCCTAAGGGGTGGGGAGTGAAGTAATTCCTTAATATAGTTATTAGAGCATTGAGTTTAGAGGTTTAGGTTTCTTCTACAATTTTACAACACAAGAAGAAATTTCAGACATGAAAAGTATGTACCTTTCCAAAATCTATTGTTTGGTTTTGTGTACCCTCAGCTCACTGGACAACCAGTGCTTATTGGTGGCACCATGGGAACCTGTAGTTATGTTCTGACTGGCACTGAACAAGGCATGACGGAGACCTTCGGAACAACCTGTCATGGAGCGGTAAGGAGATGAAAAGTTAGCAATTTTCTCTTCATTTTATCTATTGTGCATTTTGACAGGTAAATAACTGATTGAGTTTAGTGAAATTGAGGTTTGAGTGTGTCATGACTATTTCTGCAAATGATTACCATAACACACTGTTTAGTGAACTGATTGGAGTCACCTAGAATCTTAGTAAGGACTTTGTAGGACCAAGTCCATCCTCATCAGCAAGTCCAGAAAATCCAAACTGGACAGTTACCAATGTAGCTGAGTTTACTGCAGCTGGCTTGTAAGCGACATAAGTGGCTGATGTACCACACTGACTGCATGGCCCCTTCCAGCAGCCCAATGGCCCTCACCACACTGAGTGCATGGCCCCTTCCAACAGCCCACTGGACCTGCTCATTTGCGCAGTTTGTTCCTTTCTCTTGGACAGTCCACTCTAGATTGTGCAGATGCACTCTTTGCAAATCAGAGCCCATCTGTTTCAGTGTGTTGGCTCACACCTTCTCAGCCACTGTCAGTGAACTGTCTGTAGAGATATTTTAGGCTGTAGGGGGTTATACATTCTTCTACCACAGTTCAGCTGTGCCTTATAGGGCAAGAATAGCCATAGTAAATAGCATTGCTATGTTTCAGGAATTTTTTACTAACAAAAAGAGGTGGTTGGCTACATTTATATTAAAGGACTATTCAGTGCTACTTAGAATCATGCAAAATAAATAAATCTTTAAATATAAAATGCATTAGGTAGAAAGTTATTTTCAAAAAGGGTATGATGAGGCTTCTTAATAAAAGGTATATGATAAGGTTAAAGTAACAAAGATAGGGTACATGTGTGTGTCTGTGTGGTCATGGTTCCGAGTCTGACACTGGTTGTCTTCCTCTATCATGCTCCACCTTATTTTGTTTGTTAGACAGACTTTCTCACTGAACCTGGGGCTCACTGATGGCTAGACTGGCTGGCTATCCAGCTTTTGGGATCCTCCTGTCTCTTTCTCCCCGGTGCTGATCTGACAGGCATGTATAGGCATTCCTAGCTCTTAACTGAATGCTGGAGCGCCAAACTCAGGTTTTCATGCTTGCTCAGCAAACACTTACCTATTGAGCCACATTCCTAACCAGGTAGTTTTGTTTTAAAATTTTCTGTACTTTTCTTTCTTTGGTGTGTGTGGGTATGCCAGGAGAGGGGTATGATGTGACATAGCATGGGAGTAGAAGTCAGGACAGTTCTGTGGCAGTTGGGTCTCTCCTTCCATGGTATGGGTTCTGGGAAATAGACATGGCAGCAAGCATCTTTTACCCACCTCACCATCTTGATGGCCTGTCAGGTTATTTGTTTTAAACTTTTTTTTCTTAGTAGAAGATAAAAATCAAGCCTCATACCACTAGTGATATGTGCCTGTAATCCTAGCTTCTCATGAGACAGATGTAGAAATGCAAGTTCAAGGCCTGCCTGGGCACTGTAAGCAGCATAGCAAGGCTTGGCTCAAAAGTGAACAGACAAGCCAGGCGAGATCGTTCAGTGGGTAAAAGTGCTTGCTGCAAGCCTAATGGCTCTCACTCCGTGGAGCCCTCATGTCTGTAGTCTTAGCACTCCTACAGCAAGATGGGTGGTAGAGACTATAGCCTAACTTAGCAGAAGCAGCACACCTGCTCTCCTGGAGTTCATGGCAGCAGCAAAAACAGGGGCCCGGCTTCAACTAGGCAGAACAGAAGTCTGAACATTGTCTTCTGGCCTCATGCACATGCCATGGCCCTTGTACATTCATGTGTATACACACTCACAACAATGAGAGCAAATGAGTAAGTACATATAGTAGGATGTGATAATAGTAAGAATTTAAATAACCAAGGAAAAGGCATATAATCCTAAGGGCTTAAATAATACTGGAGTCAAACAAAGTTTTAGTTCACAGTTCATAATTGAAGTTCATTCCTGCCCCGATCCTTTCTCACTCTAGGGTCGTGCGTTGTCCCGAGCAAAATCTCGCCGTAATTTAGATTTCCAAGATGTCTTAGACAAACTGGCAGATATGGGAATTGCAATCCGTGTTGCCTCACCCAAGCTGGTTATGGAAGAGGTGAGTGAAGCCCTGATGAATGTTTACCCTAAGGCTGTTAAGATTTATGTCAGTGGGCAGAAGCAGCAGTTTTTGGTATTACTTAGAGAAATGACTTGGAGTTTTTGATTATTTCAGTTTGGATGTTTGGGGTTTTGACTTTGCTTTGTTCTTTTTTTTTTTTTTTTTTTTTTTTTTTTTTTTTTTTTTTATCCATGAATAGAAGGTTTTATAATGCCTATTCCCCACCACCCTTGGTGTTCCTCCCTCTCCGACTACCATGCTCTGTTCCTACCCATTAAGACAGAGTCTAGCCTACTCTGGCCTTAAACTTGAAATAATCCTCAGCCTCTTAAATGCTAGGAGTTACAGGTGTGAGCTACAACTCCTGGCTTCTATTTTGGGTTACCTTGTTTTGATTTTATATTGTCTTTTGTTTGGAGATTTCTAAGCCTATAACAATTTTTACTGTTCATACATTTCTATTACATTATAATGTTTAAAAGTAGGTTGAGCCAGAAAGTGGTTGCCCACATGCCTTTAATCCCAGCACTTGGGAGGCAGAGGCATGTGGATATCTGTGAGTTTGAGGCCAGCCTGGTCTGCAGAGTGTTCCAGGACAGGCTCCAAAGCTACAGAGAAACCTTGTCTCAAAAAGCAAAATAAACAAACAAATAAATAAATAAAAGTAGGTTGAAAGGACCAGCAAGGGGGCTCAGTATGGTGACCTGAGTACCCTAGCTCTCATATGGTTGATGGAGAAAAACATGTTCCCTCAAATTGTCTCCAGCCTCCTCGTGTGCAGTGTAGCATGTGTGAATACACACAGGCAATAGAATTTAATTATAGAAATTTAGGAGTAATAAATATAGTTTTTGTTTTGTTTTCTTAGATTTTTATTTACTATGTATACAGTGTTGTGCCTGCATGTATCCCTGCAGGCCAAAAGAAAGCACCAGATCTCATAACGGCTGATTGTGAGTCACCATGTGGTTACTGGGAATTGAACTCAAGATCTCTGGAAGAACAGTCAATGTGTTTAACCTCTGAGACATCTCTCCAGCCCTAGAAGTAGTTTAAGATGACCTATTGTTAACCTTGATAGTGCAGTTATATACTTATATTTCAGTTTAGGAGCAAATTTGAAAAAAAGAAACATGTTTAAAGAGATAGTTTAAAGGAAAACTTGTGTTTAAATGATCTGCATGAATTTAAGAGACCAATCCCTCCCTTTATTTTCCTCATTTTTTACCACCACATGTCCTTGATGCTTTTTGAAGCTAAAGTTGTTGAATTTTATTTGTCCTTTTAAAAATGCAGCTAGCTCCTTATAAAGTTCTTGATGTCACTCTTTAGTCAGTGCTACCAGATGAGTGTCTTAGCATTTTGTCATAGTGGGTTTTTACATCTCTTCTTGCTGCTATAAATTAATTTGTGATAGGTATTTTCATTCTTGAAGCTTTTAATGATTGGAAGTCTTAAGTAGAATTACTGAGTCAAGCCTTATTTTTATAATTTATACTTGTTCTTGGGAGTAATACATTTGGTGGAGCTTTGGAGGCTGGAGTCCTGGTTCAGGGGTTAAGAGCATTTATTGCTCTTTCAGAGGTCCTGGGTTCAATTCCCAGTACCCGTGTGGTTTCTCATATCCATTCATAACCCCAGTTCAATTAACTCTGCCCTCTTCTGGCCTCTGCAGGTGCCACACAGACGTAAAACGTACAAAACACTTCTACACATAAAATAAATAAACTGAAAATAATCATCACAACTTAAAAAGTAATAACTTTAATTTAAAGGATGTTGCAAACACTAAGAAAAGCCGCCAACATTAGTCCAGCCAGAAATGACCACGGCTTTTCTGTTTTACTTGCCTCATAGCTTCTTTCATTCCTTGTGGTCCTATTAGACATTTGTTCTGGGTGATAAGGAAGACACAGTAGACAAAACTTGTTATAAACCCTTCCTGTGGAACTTAACAGACAGTAAAATCATAGTATATTAATAACAATGTAAATGCTGTCACGTGAAAGGAAACAAGAATGACTGGGAGGCAGGAAGTTTTAAGTAGGGTGACCAGGGAAGGCTTTGATGTGGTGGTACTTGGGTGTGGGCCTGAAGGACACAGGTGCCATGAGAGCAGTAGATACAAAACTCCTGAGCTGAACAGAATAACTTGAGGCAAACACAGCAAGGAGATAAACTCAGACCTGGAGAGGCACTAGACCTTTTGAGCTGTGTGTTCCCCGTCCCAACCTAGCCTTTGCTTTACAGACTTCCGCTTTTACTCAGAGTGAAGTGGGAAGAGAGTGGAGGATTTTGAGTGAAGAATGCTTTGATCTGACTAGTGTGACTATGCTAATGAGAGGAAAGAAACTGATGGTGCAGAAGAGATGAGGTGGATCACCTCTCATGTCTTTGACATGAGAGGGACAGGGCCCAAGTGAATTCCAGTGGAAGCACCTGGCTGTGTGTGGGTGGCACAATGCTGGCACTATCCTTAAAGTACAGCCCTGTGGATGAGAGGCAAGTTGTTTAGAATGGTTCACTAACAGAGATGGTAGGATTACGGTTAGGGTAGGGCCTGTATGGCTGGTTTAAGGAATGTTTTCATGGAGAGCAGGAAGGATCAGGAGCCCAAAAGTGCACTTATAGAAGAGTTGTGATCTCTGGTCACGGCAGGTTCTGGGGAACCTGCACAGAGTGGTGGAGATACACAGAGCCGGAGGCTTCACTGGATAATGGCATTATTCAGAATCATTGCAAGAGAGTACTAGTGAGTCAGGAGCTTCATGTCTGTCTCCCAAGTTGTGCCATGCTAGCCAATAACTGAGGTGAGAGCTTGTAGGTGGTCTAATGGTAGTTCTAGGGGAGAGAAGAAAGACTGGAAATACACATGAGTATGAAGGGGGACTCCTGTTCTTTCCAGGCCCAGTAACATGACCCAGTTTGAGAGGAAAAGAACCTGCTTCAGAAGGTTGCAGGCAAAAACTTCATTGGGGAAGATGCAGGATTAGTAACAGCAAGGGGAAGGAAGTAGACAGAGGAGGCATTCTGCCCACTGTAAGTGGTCCCAGGGGCCACAGTGAGAACAGTTCAGACATGGAAATGGGAGCTATGGTAGAAGAGCAGGCACACAGCCAGTCAGGGTCTGGGCGGCCTGCCCTGTGTTAGCAGGCATAGATGAGTTAGGTCCAAGGGATTAGCAGTGTTGTAAGACAGTGGGTGTGTGTGCAGGACAGGGAGTTTGTGTACATGCACAGCCACACATACTTGAAGTTATTTAGATAGACACAAATCTTTTGTAAGGAAAAAGTTACTAGTACACATTCAGTTAGAAGCTTTAATAGCTGCTGAAATAGAGAAATCATTTTGCTCATATTACTAGTCTGTCATTTGGAGCATTTCCTTCCAGGCAGAATGGTGTGTACACTTGAAACATGTTTACCACACTGCTTTTACTTTTCTTTTTAATTAGTGCATGTAGTGTGTGTGTCAAAAGCAAGTGTCTGTGCCAAAGCACATGTGAGGGCCAGGAAGACAATTTAGTGGAGTCAGTTCTCTCCTACTTACATGTATTCCAGGATAAAAGTCAAGTCACCAGGTTGCACATTCCCCACTGACATCTCACTGGCCCCTGCTTTAATCATACAGATAATATATGGTTTTGAAGAAGTTTTTAGAAATGTAGGACCACCTGTTTATCTCACACCAGTAACCAGCACTGATTTGTTCATTTTTTTTTAACCTTTGCTAATTTAATGGACAAAAATATCCCAAGTATTTCTTATAATTTCAAGTAAAGCTTAGTGTTTTGAAAGATTCCCTATTGGTGAATTTTACAGTGTTCACTCCCTTCCCTATAGGCTCCAGAGTCCTATAAGAATGTGACCGACGTTGTGAACACCTGCCATGATGCTGGAATCAGCAAGAAGGCCATTAAACTGAGACCAATTGCTGTTATTAAAGGGTAGAGCCAAGAGCAGCAGAACCTCTGAAGTGCCCAAAAACTGACATCAGACTCAAGGTCCAAAGTGCACAGCTCTTGCTGTGTATGCCATGGTGGCCGGTGGAGAAGCTGCGGTTCCAGGAACCAAGGTTGTAAACTAGCCTTGCAGGGAACATGTCTCCATTTGGAGCAGGGCAAATGTGCCTCTTCCTCCTTTGTCCTACAGGTTTTTAGGAAAATCTACTGGGGTGTAGGGAAGGGTCAAGAAATTGCCTTACTTGGTCATACAAGTCTGTAATAACCAGAGTGGACTTCTTTACACCAAGCTGTTCTAGCCCAGTAGATATCATGAAAAATGTTTATTAAATATGGTTTGTGAATGTTTTCTTTTATGTCCTCATGTGTCCACTCATCTGTGGACCTCCTCTACACCCAGCAAAATCCCTTCTCTCACGGAGAGCACCAAGCACCTGAGGAATTGTAATCAGATGCTACATAAGTGTATAATGGGGTGTGTTGAGGAGGACATCAGGTGTGCTAGGAATAGGGGCCAAAGAGAAAGAAACTTTCCACAGCTTGTCTTTCTTATCCTAAATACAAGGCAGAGTACCTGCAGCGTGGTGTCAGCAGACTCTGGGCCACTTTGAGTAATGCTCTGCACAGTGACAGCAAAGAGACCCGATGTGCCCACAGCTGGTGATATTAACGTTTGCTTCATGTTAATATCTTTAGTCATCTTGTGAGATTCTGTGTTGTAGATAGTGACCTCTTAAAGAACCCTTCCACTATGGAGGCAGGAAGCAGAGATGAGTTCTGGGGCCTGGTTCATGCCCTCCTTTTCCTTCAGCCCCAGTACATGAAATGGAACCATCTACATTCAGGTGGGTCTTCCCACCTCAACCCAGTCTAGAAACTCCCTCCCAGACATGCCCAAGAGGTTTGTGTCCTAGACGATTCTAGATCCTGTCACATGAAGGCTGTTCATTTTCAGTCAGGCACTTTGGTATATACATGTTGGGAGGTCAAAGGACAACTTGCAGAAGTTGATCTCCTTTCTGTGTTGGTTATGGGGATCAAACTCAGGTTTACAGGCTTCTCAGCAATTGCTTTTACACACTGAGCTATCTAGCCATCCCTAGTGTTTTCTTTGATTCCTGCCTCTCCTCAACTTCCTTTTCCCTAAGTCTTGTTGGTTCTAATTCCTGGACATCTCTAGTCCTCCCCCTCTTCATTTTAATCCCTATGCCATCCTTTTGATACTTAACCAACTCTCAAAACAGAAGTCACATGCATCCTTTTTTCTTCTGATAACTGCACTGGTTTTAGAGAACCAACACCTCCACCCCCACTTTAAGTTTGTGTGGGTGAGCTAATACTCAGGCTCAGACCAGAACACCCAGACCATCACTTCTTCCATTCCTGACTGAGGAAGTGGCACATGATAATTAAAATAAATAAATAAAAGATGATTCTGGAAGTTCTCTCTTGCTCAAGAGCAAGGTGACATCTGTTGCTATCCATCTCTCTACCATCCCTGAACCTGACATTTACATTTTTTTTTCTAACTACCAGTAAGATGAGCACCCAACATTTCCTCAGCAGTTAATAAGTAGGAGACTTTACGAGCCAGTGTTCTTGGGCCACAAATGAGTGAGCAAATGTCATGTAAAGGTAGAACTGAGTTTCTATGGTTTGGGTAACTGCCTCAAAAAATGACTAAGTCCTCAGCTTGGTGCCAATGGCAATTAAAAGCTCTCAAGAGGCAGTAGCCAGGGGCTAAGCAGTTAAGATCACTCCTCTTCCAGAGGACCCAGGTTCCATTCCCAGCACCCACGTGGCCACAATTGTCTGTAACTCCAGTCCCAGGGATCCAACACCTGACCTTCATGTCTACTGTACACATCTGGTGCCAGACATTCATGCAAGCAAACATATATACCCACACACATAAAAAGAGGTAGTTACCTAGTGAGATGACTTACATCTTTGTGTGCCCTCCATGGGGGTCTGTGACACCCCAGTACCTTGCTCATTCTTTTTGCTTCCTGGTTTCCATGAAGTGAGCAGCTTCCTTTCCTCTGTGTTTCCACCATGATATACTGTTTCACAAGCCCAAACGCAATGGACTCTAAAGACCAAATTTACCTTTTCCTGTAAGGTAGTCCTCATGATGCAAACCTGTAATCCCATTGCTTGAAAAGTAGAGGCAGGATGTTCAAGAGATCTAAGTCACCCTTGGCCACATTGCAAGTTTGAGGTCAGCTGTAGGTATATGAGATCCCCTCTAAAAAGTTTCTTGATTATCTCAAGTATTTTGTTACAGGAATACAAAACTAACTTACAATACTGAAGCCTCACAAAAGTACAGCAAGATGCTTCTAATTCCATTATATATGTTAGTACATTATTTGATTTAATTCTCTGTGCCTCGGTTTCTTTTTTATACCACAAGGAAAATAGTCTGACCCCTACCCCACCTAACTTACAGTTAAGTTATAAAGAGCATCCATTCCTGTGGTGGTTTCTTGCTGATGCAAATAAAGCCTGTCTGAAGGTCAGAGAATGGAGCTTGCCTCTAGCTAACCATAGAGGTCTGGAGGTCTGTGCAGACAGACAGAAAGTGAGGTAGGTGGGTGGAAACAGAAGCAGGGAGAAACAAGACCTTGCTCTCTTGTCTGAGATGCTAAAAAGGTAAGGTGTGGCTGTGGATTGTTCCTTCTGCCTGGTTTCTCAGAATTTTCCTCTCTAACTCTGGATTTTTAATAATTTAGACCAATTAAGAATTCTATTTACATTTTGGCACCCATATAACCAGAACATTTACAGCAGGATGGACAAATCACCCCCTGAGAGTCTCAACCTGGCTCCGAAAAGCCGACAGGTGCTGTGGGCTTGCTCAGTCAAGTGGGCCATGCCTGACTCCCTGCTACTCCCCTCTACCCAGCACCAGTGGCTTACACAATCTCTAGAACCTTTTCTTTGAGTTCAGTGGTTTGACCCAGCTATTATTTAGACTAAGGAACACACTCCCAGACTTCAAGACTTCCCAGAGCCAGCACATACAATCCAGATCACAGCTTCAGCCAATAGCTCATGACTTCAGCCTGCCACACACCTGCTGTGCACCACTTCAGTCCCCAGCACACCCCTAGCCCTGATAGGTGATTGGCAATCAGCGCACACAGGTTGCTCCTTTTTTCCCTTTCTCTTCAACAAAAATCCGTTAGGTTTGTTTTGTTTTGAGTTTTTGCTTAGAATCCAAAGGTTGGATAAGATTGGAACAAGTCAGAACTGAGCTTCAGTGTCCTTGGACTTGCTTTGGTGGTACACCTACAACACCTGTTGGCCAAACATTGTCATTGCAACTTAAAGTTAATAAGAGACACAGCCGACTTTCTGAGGATTTAATTTGAGGTAAATTACTGGATATTTTTGCATTTTAAGCTAGTTAATTAATAAAAAGCTTTTCTAACGACTACTACAACAATGGTGGATAATATCACCACCCAGGAATTTAAAAATCTTTTTGCTTCTGCTATGGATGAAATTTTAAGAGGTATATGACCTACCTGGGATGTATACACTCTTAGCCATAACTGTTATTCACTTGGTATTCCATATCATATCCTTAAAGAAATGGTTTGATAATAGACCCAAGAATGAGAAACTTACAGAAATTATACCAACTTGACAGACTGGTAATGAGAGCTTAGCAAAAACTATTCATATAGTTGAAAATGACAATCATAATTTGACAAAATTTACAAAATGGAATATGGTAATGAACTATTAGAAAAAAAATCATTCCATGTCTAAGAGTAATGACAAACTTACAAATAGAACATTGTTTTTGGAAGGCAATCTACATGCCATCCAAATAATCTCTGGAATCATATGTAAATGATGAGAACAAGAAACTGACTATTTATTTTATTCATCTTTTTTTTGTTTTTTCGAGACAGGGTTTCTCTGTGTAGCTTTGGAGCCTGTTTTGGCACTCGCTCTGGAGACTAGGCTGGCTTCAAACTCACAGAGATCCGCCTGCCTCTGCCTTCTGAAGTGCTGGGATTAAAGGTGTGCGCCACCAATGCCAGGCGAAACTGACTGATTTAATGAAATCATTGGAAGTTTTTACAGTTCAGAAAGTTCAAACACTTCAAAAAATAATGGTGCATAGACTAAAGGCCATAAAAAATCTTCTTAAAACTGATACACCAGGAGTTAAGGTACAAACTAAAGAGAATAAAAAAAGATTTAACATAGCCAGTACCTTTCAGAATCAGAGATGATTACCAAAAGTCGTATCATCATCATCACCTGCTATGGTCGATCCTGTTATTATTATTCAAAAGCTAGCAAATAATGAACACCCAGGAGGATATACAGAATGCAAATGGGAGCCTATATGTATGAAAGATTTAAAAGGAGTTAAGGAAGCAGTAGTTTCTTTTGGCATGCATTCACCATATGTGAGGCACTTAGTAAAGGCATGGGCTTCAAGAAATAGAATAACTCCAAATGACTGGCTTCATTTAGCCTCAGATGCTATACATCTTGGTCCACAGCTGCAGTGGGAGTCATATGGGAGGGAAGAGTAGAAGGCCCTTAAACATCAAGGCACAGTCAAAAGTTATGAGGCTTCCCAAGATCAAATTCTTGGTGAGGACTGTTATGCTGATGGAGATACTCAAGCTACATACAATGAACACATCTTGTCCCTATGCTGTACAGTAGCTTTGAATGCTTGGGACAAGATTCAAGAACCAGAGAAAAGAAATTACTCACATACTAAGGTTATACAAGGCCCAAAAGAACCCTTTAGTGACTTTTTGCAAAGATTGACTAAAGTACAAATAGTGGTAGCAGATCCAGAAGCTTCATTGAAACTCTAGTGTAGCAGCATCTAGCCTTGCCAGTGTATTTGTGTTAGTGACCACACCCTTTTGGGAGAGGTCAACAACAATTATCCCAAAAGAAAGAGAATTCAACTTATAAAGAGAAATAACTAGAGCCCCTACATTCTATACTGACGAAAACAAATCAAGAAAGGCAGGATACAAATCAGAAAATTTAAGTAAAGTGGATCTGAGTCCTTATAATTCTGTCCAAAAAATCAGAATTATGGGCTATTCTCATGGTGTTAATGGATCATAAAGAACCTCTCAACATAGATACTGATTCACAATATGTAGAAAGAGTTGTTTTACATGTTGAAACCACTGAATTTATCCCAAATGATACAGAATTGACATCATTTATTCAGTTACAAGACATAATCAGGGACAGGAATCATACCATATATATGTAACACACATCAGATCCCATATGGGTCTGCCAGGCCCTCTAGCACAAGGAATGATGAAATTGATCAACTATTGATAGGAA